CTCTGCTGCAGACTTGAGTTGCTCCGAGTACAGCTGGTACTGCTCCGATGCAGACGCCTGCTGGATCTGCTCGCACTCGTGGCTTTCTGGATTCGCCAGAGGAGGAGCCTGTGCCACCGTCGGCTCGGTGACATCAACGACCCCTGCGACCTCCATAGCAGGAGCGTCCCCGTTATCAGGGGCATTCGTGTCCAGCATCCCGGTCATGGGCTCACCTGAAACAAACACATCAAATGCACAGGTAAGTCTGAAGACAACATAATCGTCTCATAGTTCTGCTGGCGATGTAAAATGTTACCCTGGAGCACAAAACCAGTCATAAGGGTCAATTTTCCAAAATTGAGATTTATGCATCAGCTGAAAGCTGAATACATAAGCTTTCCATTGATGTATGGTTTGTTAGGATAGGACAATATTTGAAAATCTGGAATCTGAGGGTGCAAAAAAAACTAAATATTGAGAAAATCATCTTTAAAGTTGTTCAAATTAAGTTCTTAGCAATGCATATTACTAATCAGAAATTAAGTTTTGATATATTTACAGTAGGACATTTACAAAATATCTTCATGGAACATGATCTTTACTTAATATCCTAATGATTTTTGGCATAAAAGAGAAATGTATAATTTTGACCCATACAATGTATTGTTGGCTATTGCTACAAATATACCCCAGGGTCACAAATCAAGCAACATCTGACGACAGGGTTTCTGCCGGTTTAATGAAGGTAAAATGTAAGGAATAAATTGCAAGGAACGCCACACTTCAATATGTTCATCAAATGCAAGCAACACTTCAAAGTAGTGTTGTCAAAAGACCCGGTATTTCGGTACCAAGTCGGTACTAAAAAAATGAAAACGTTACGGTACCGTCAATGATCTAATGTTGCATTTGGTCAGACTCAGCCCATTGCTTTACTGAAGTATATTATATTTTCCTTTTACAGCTGCAGCCTGCGGAAGATCCTGAAACACACCAGCAAACCCTAAAACAGACAACAGTTTACAGATGTTTTTCAGTGGCAGCAGAACTATGACTAAACTTTTGGGTGAAACTTGTTTACTTTTTTCATACTTTTATTACTTGTGGAAAAACTTGAAACACTTTTAAATAAGTATAAAGAATGGCATTGGTTTTGTACATTTAATTTTTGTTTAACGTTATTAATAAAAATGTTGTTCAATTAGCATGTTTTTGTGTTTTGCTTTGGTACCGAAATTGGTACCGAGAACCGTGGATTTTCACTGGTATCGGTACCGAATACTGAAATATTGGTACCGTGACAACACTAGTTCAAAGCATGACAACCTCCATCACTTTTTAATTAATTTTACAAAAATACAGATACTTTTAGTTAAGAAGCAAAACGGCCGAAGACGAGAAGTCCTGTCTTCTGAGACACTGATCAAAATGAAGCGATTAAAACAAGTCCACATATCTTAATTCAAAAGGGAAAACAGATCTGCATTCCTCACTGACAGCTATTTGTTTGTTTTGATCATAAAATCACTTCATATTGTTCAGTCTATCAGAAAACAAGACTTCATGTCTTCATTTTGCATCTTCGGTAAATGTACACTGCTGTTCAAAAGTTTGGGATCTGTAAGATTTTTAATGTTTTTTTAAAGAAGTCTTTTCTGCTCATCAAGGCTGCATTTATTTGATCAAAAATACAGAAAAAATTGTCAATATTGTAAAATATTTTTACCATTTAAAATACTGGTTTTCTATGTGAATATCTGTTAAACTGTAATGTATTTCTGTGACGCGCAGCTGTATTTTCAGCATCATTACTCCAGTCTTCAGTGTCACATGATCTTCAGAAATCATTCTAATATACTGATTTATTATCAGTTGTGCTGCTTCATATTGTTTTGGGAAGCTGTGATACTTTTTTTCAGGATTCTTTGATGAATAAAAAGTTAAAAAGAAGAGCGTTTATTCAAATTAGAAATCTTTTGTAACAATATAAGTCTTTACTGTCACTTTTTATCAATTTAACACATCTTTTCCGAATAAAAGTATGACTTTATTTCAAAAATAGAAGGAAAACTAAATCTGCCGACTACAAACTTTTGCACGGTAGTGTATATTGTAACAAAAGATTTCTATTTTAAGTAAATGCTGTTCTATTTTAACTTTTTATTAATCAAAGAACCTTTAAAAAAAAAAGTATCACAGGTTCCAACATTTTTTTTTTTTTACAAAAATGAAGCAGCAAAAAATTTTTTTTGTTTCTAACATTAATAACAAATCGGCATATTAGAATGATTTCTGAAGATCATGTGACACTGAAGACTGGAGTAATGATGCTGAAAATACAGCTGCGCATCACAGAAATACATTACAGTTTAACAGCTATTCACTTAGAAAACAGCTGTTTTAAATTATTATAATATTTAACAATTTTACAGTTTTTTCTGTATTTCTGATCAAATAAATGCAGCCTTGAGCAGAAAAAAAAACTACCATTTTTTACAAACAATAAACAAACTTTAGAACAGCAGTGTATCTTGATTTCAGGATGTTTAGATATTTGTTCTGGAAACCAAGACAAAAATACTGAGGAAGATAATATGCATTTTCTGCAGTGCATGCAACATTTAATGCCATAACTTTACGAATTTAATGAATTGAAGACCTTTAATTGGCGGAAGGCCTCTTTAAACCCTGCTGCTTTGACAATCAGTATTATATAAAGCGCTATTCAAATAAAGGCCACCTGACAAACAGTTGTGAAACAGACTCCACAAAAATATTCCAGTCGTTTTGCAAATGCATAGGATTACGCCTAATTTTAAGCTTTGCACTGCTAAAGATAATTATGCGTTTCAGTCTGTGTAAACAAGTCTGGACTCAGAAATGCTTTCGAGAGGACCACGGAACACAGACACACCGGAGTTGTTTCCTGGTCAAACGTCACACGATAAACCGTCGAATTAACGTTAGTTTGTGAACGTACGCGAGTAACCGATCAAAACACGCTTTCGGTGGCATTTCAAAGGCGAATTCGTTTCAAAACCAGCACAACGCGTTATTAAAGTATGAAAACGGTCTGGTTTCGGCCTGGTCTCTTCACGCGCTAGCTAAACTGCTAACTAACCGCCGCCGCTCATTTACCTCAGAAACAAACGCACGCGAATCGCGGGAAATCTACGGCGGGAAGGATACTTACCAGAATCTTCCATGAAACTGGGTTTAAACTGCAGATATTTTCACAACTTCTTCGAAGTTTTATGCGGTTGTTGATAACATGTGGTCGATCGGCCGCGCTCTGTCGCATTCAGCACCCGTTGCGTCGAGCGCTGAGAGAAGGACACGAAAGTTTGCGCATGCGCACCGCGCTACGAAACCAAAGACACTCGTGACCACTGTTGCCAACTCTCGCGAGACAAATAAGCAACCGCAGCTTCAAAAACAAGCCCAATATTTTTTGATAATTTACTATCATCAATATTATTTAGTATCAATTATTTATTGCCAGCAAATGAGCCCGCAACATATGAAACTGAAACTACCCTTTCATCTGAAAAGCAAAACGTTTTCCTAACAAGCAACCATATTGTTTAAAATAAGCCCAAAAAACCGCAACTCGGGATTTTTTTCACGCAACTTTACAAAAAAGAATCCCAAAGTCGCGTATAAATCGCGTGACGTCGCGTGACGTCATTCCCTGGTTACCGATAGGGGGCGTAACGCGGCCCACAGAAATCAAACGGGTCAGAATGGAATAAAATGAAATTTATTCGAAATATCTGACGTCGAAGCCACGCGACAAAAAAAAAAAAAAGGTAGGCTAATCGCAACTTTTTAATCTTACAATTCGGACTTTTTCACACAATTTATATCTCACAATTCTGTCTTTTCTTCTCGCAATTCTGAACTGCCGGATATGAAATCAGAATTGCAAGATATAAACTTGTAAAGTTTGTATAAACTATAAGCTCACAACTCTGAGAAGAAAAATAGAAATTGTGACATATAAACTCGCAATTGCGAGAAAAAATTCTGAATTGTAAGATATAAAAAGTCGCTATTTTTAATCTTCATTTTTAATCAGGCTACGTGGGAGAAAAAACATGCAGAATTGCGAGGAAAAAAAGTCAACATTTTTTATTATTATTATTATTATTATTATTATTATTCTCATAGCAGAAACAGGCTTCCTTAAGTTACAGTACTTCATTACTATAAAATAATAATCTTCCCAGTATATGTATCACTGTATGTAAACTAATTATGTAACAATATAGTAAACCCACGCTGAATAATTCAGATTCGAGTCGTTGAATAACCCGACCCTAAAATAAACCGAAAGCCTTTAGTACTTTTGTGTACATTTAGAGCTTCTCTGTTCTATGAAGTGTATACTCTGTGTTTCTGATTACAGGAAAGCTGAATGAATAAAGCCTTTACTTTTGTGTTAAAAAATAGGCCCCCTCAAACACACGATTCCTTAAATTATTAAACAAAATATGTTAAAAATATGTACAGTTGAACTGAATAGAATTTAATACAGTAATAAAAAAAACTTTCGATCTAAAACCGAGCTCAGGGTTTATGTAATAAAGGAAAAAATGCAAATCTGCATGTATTTATAGCCAGGTGTGTCTGCGGTTTCCAGGCATTTTTTGAACTCGACGTGACGTCATGAGCTCCGCCCCTTCAACGTCAAATGACGCGTCAGTGGTTTTATTTTTAAAATGTGTATAGGTAGTTGTTTTAATACTACAATTGATTGTTCTGTTGTTCTCATTTGTAAGTCGCTTTGGATAAAATAAAAAATAAATAAATATCGTTATTATATCTTATGTAAGGCGAATTCTTTAATATGTGAATATTAACGAAGTCGTTCTTGCGTTGCTTGGTGATCCCAATGTATCGAATGCAAGTCTGTTGAATATTAACTAAGCATTGCTGACGCACCCGCAGTCTGTCCAATGGCAAACACACGCGTCATGAATATTAATGCCCAGAGCCTTCGCCGTAGTAGATCCGAGCGCTCGAATACCAAATGGTGCAGTGCGCCTGAGCGAAAAAGAGAGGAAGTGGCGGCAGAAGTAGCTCCGCACCTTTTCCGGTAACACCGACAGCGGCACGACCGGGACCGAGAGAGCGACCGGAGAGGAACAGAGGGGACAGAACCGACCCGGGGTGCGCGAGAGGGCGGCTGTTATACGAGGTAAAACAGCGCGGCGCTTAGTACGAGCAGAACACGAAGCGAAACTACAAGAATAAAGTTGTATTTGACACCCCTCCCTTTTCTCATCCGCCTTCTCTCGTGTTTCAGGGACGGAAGAGGGGGAACTCGGGATGAATGACTGACGTTTGGAGTTTATTCTCACAGCCTCGAGCAGAACATACGATCTGAAACGCGTCTGAAGGGAATGTGCGCAAAACAAACGCGACCCGACAGCGGGTGCACCGGAAGGAAGTCTGAGGAAAGGCCTTTCACAGATCCAAACACACGTGACGGGTTTTGTTTCTGAATTTTGAAGGTTGTTTGCAGTACTGCGAATATATGTGTTTTTCTGACTGACCAAAAACCCTCGTCCCTCTTCCTGCAACACATTTAAATATATGCACAGCCAAAAAGATGGGGAAGATGCTTTCGAAGATCTTTGGCAACAAGGAGATGAGAATATTGATGCTTGGACTTGACGCGGCGGGAAAAACGACGATCCTTTACAAACTCAAACTGGGACAGTCGGTCACCACCATCCCGACGGTGGGCTTCAACGTGGAGACCGTTACGTACAAGAACGTCAAGTTTAACGTGTGGGACGTGGGCGGTCAGGATAAGATCCGTCCGCTTTGGCGGCACTATTACACCGGCACCCAAGGCTTGATCTTCGTAGTGGACTGTGCGGATCGCGACCGGATCGACGAGGCTAGACAGGAGCTGCATCGCATTATTAACGACCGTGAGATGCGCGACGCAATCATCTTGATCTTCGCCAACAAGCAAGACCTTCCGGATGCCATGAAGCCGCACGAGATCCAGGAGAAGCTGGGTTTGACTCGGATCAGAGATCGCAATTGGTACGTTCAGCCGGCCTGCGCTACGACGGGCGACGGACTCTACGAAGGACTCACCTGGCTCACGTCCAATTACAAATCCTAACGCGAGCGGGCGAAGACGCACGCGTGGAAACTACACTCTAAAAAAAATGCTGGGTTAAATACAACCCAGTGCTGGGTAAAATAGGGACAAACCCAGCAATTGGGCTGTTTTGAAATCCCTATCCGTAATAGGGTCCCTATTTTACCCAGCACTGGGTTGTATTTAACCCAGCATTTTTTTTTTAGAGTGTAG